GGTTCACCAGCAAGGTCATCGTCCGCATCACGCTGGTCTTTCTACTTTGCGGCACGGCGCTGCTGTTCGTCGCCGAGCCGACCATCGCCGCTCTGCCGGCGGACGAACGCCTGCTCGCCGCTTTCTTCCAGACCATGACGGCATCCACGACCGTCGGCTTCAACACGCACCCGATCGGGTCGCTCTCCGCCGCCGTTCTGATCGTGCTGTTCTTTCTGATGGTGGTCGGCGCCTCGCCGGCAGGCACCGGTGGTGGGCTCAAGACCACCTCCTTCGCCGCGCTGCTCGGCCTTCTCCGCTCGACCTTGAAGGGACGGGATCGGATCCGTTTCTTCAAGCGGCAGGTCCCGCTGCCTCGGTTGCAGACCGCGACCGCCTCGCTGACCTACTACGCCGGACTGCTGATGGTCGCACTCTTTTTTCTGCTGTTGACCGAACCGGAGGCGGCCTTCGAGGTGGTTCTGTTCGAAGCGATCTCCGCGATGGGCACCGTTGGCCTCAGCATGGGGCTGACCGGCGAACTGTCCGATCTGGGCAAGCTCGTCGTGGTCGTCCTGATGACGGCGGGCCGCGTCGGCATCCTGACCTTCGGAATCGCGCTTGCCGCGCACGACGAGAGCCGGGAGGAGGAAGAGGACAACGAACTGGTGATGTAGCCCCGGCAGTGGCCGTCTTCTCATTCGTCCGAGGTCAGTTCCTCCTCCAGCCAAGACAGCAACGCCGACGCCTCCGGGCGGGTTCGCCCCTGTTCACGTCGATAGACGGAGAGGCCCCGGGGCAGGATCACGCTCTCGCCGAAGGGGCGCAGCAGACTGCCCGACTGCAGCAGCCGCTCCATCGCCCGCCGCCAGCCGAGCGCGATGCCGTGGCCCTCCACGGCCGCCTGGATCAGGACCGGGTAGCTGTCGAAGGCCATGCCGCGATGGCCGACCCGCAGGGGACTGCCGAGCCGGTCCAGCCAGTCGTCCCACTCCAGCCAGTCCTGCGGCTCGACCCTGTGGTGCAGCAGGCGGTGGTTCGGCAGGTCGGTCAAGGGCAGCGGCAAGGGCGGGGCTGTGGGCGTCGTCCGACCGGCGAGATAGCCTGGGCTGCAGACGGGAAAGACCTCGTCCGAGGCCGTGAAGGCCAGGGGGTAGGAGCCGCTTGGGCGGTCCGAGGTCTGCAGGGCGACGTCGAAGGGCTCCGTCGTCCGGGCCACAGGCAGGGTCGAGGCGGCGACTCTGATCTCGATGCGCGGATTGCGCTGGTGAAAGCCGGAGAGGCGGGGCATCACCCAGTAGTAGGCCGAGCAGAGTTCCGCGAAGAGAACCACCTCGCCGCCGCGCTCCTTGCTGCGCAACTCCGTCGCGCGGGCCGCGAGGGTTTCCAGACTGGCCGCCACGCTGAGGGCGAAATCGCGGCCTGCTTCGGTCAGGAAGACGGCCCGGTGACGGCGCTCGAACAGCCGAACGCCCAGATCCTCCTCAAGGGCCCGGATCTGCCGGCTGACCGCCGCCTGGGTCAGATGCAGCTCCTCCGCCGCCTGGGTGAAGCTCTCCAGCCGGGCGGCCGCCTCGAAGGGCAGCAGGCTGGCCAGCGGCGGCAGGCTCTTCCGAAACCTATTCATAATTTATTGTAATGGATTGAGATGTAGAAGTCGTTTGAGAAACTCAGCTCTGCTGCACCAAGCTTGATCTCAGTTCATCCAAAGATCGAGCGGGGCAGGATCGCCAGCATGAGCCGGATCGCCGTGAATCGCCCCGAGCGGGTGGGGCTGGGACTCCTGCTGATCGTGGTGTCGGTCTTCCTGATGTCGCTGGGGGATGCCCTCGTCAGGTATCTCAGCAGCGATCTCACCCTCTGGCAGATCTTCCTGCTGCGTTCGCTGTTGGCCCTTCCCCTTCTGGTCCTGCCGCTTCTGGCCGACCGCCTCGCCGCGCGCCGGTGGCCGTCGGCGTTTGGAGGGACGGCGCTCGGCTGGGTCGTTCTCCGCAGCCTGCTGCTGGTCGCGATGTGGATCGCCTTCTACATCGCCCTGCCGCTGCTGCCCCTGTCCCTCGCTGCCAGCGCGCTCTACACGGCGCCGCTGCTCGTCGCGCTGCTGTCGGCGCTTGCGATCGGAGAGCCGCCGGGGCCGAGGCTGAAGCTGGCCCTCGGGCTCGGGTTTCTCGGTGTCCTGGTGATCCTGCGTCCGGGCACCGAGGTCTTCTCCTGGGCGATGATCCTGCCGCTGCTCGCGGCGGGCGCCTACGCGCTGGCCATGGTCATCACGCGCAGCAAGTGCAGCGGGGCCAATCCGCTGATCCTGTCGCTCGGTCTCAATGTCGGCTTTCTGTTTGCCGGTCTGCTTGGCCTCGCGGCGCTCTCGCTTCTGCATCCGCTGCTTCCCGCCGCGGCCGCCAACGCCTTCCTGCTCGGCGCTTGGGCCCCGCTGGGCTGGCGGGACTGGGGCTTCCTGGCGCTGCTGGCTTTCCTGTTCGTCGCCGTTGCCACCGGAGTGGCCCGGGCCTACCAATGCGGCCCGCCGGCGGTGATCGCGACCTTCGACTACGCCTATCTGCCCTTCGCGGTGCTCTGGGGCCTGCTGCTATTCCGGGAGCGTCCCGATATCGCGACGGTTGCCGGCATGGCTCTGATCGCCCTTGCCGGCGGTCTCGTTCTCTGGCGACGGCCGGCCTCTGCCGGCCCGCGCTGTTCGCAAGCCGAGGAGGCCTAGGGCTGCGGCGATAGTCAGCGTCGCGGCGGGGATCCAGCCTTCTGGCGCCTCCAGCGTGAGCAGGGTCGCCGTGCTGGCGGCCAGCCAGAGCGACGGCACGAGGAACAGCAGGCGCCGCGCGCCGCTGGGCGGCTGCAGCAGCGCGATCCCCAGGGTCAGGATCGCCGTGGGATCGGGGGCGATGCCGAAGACCTCAGCGCCTGCCAGGGGGCGCCCGGCGATCAGGGCCGTCAGGGGGTGCAGCAGCAGGGCATAGCCGATCAGCGCGAAGCCTGCGGCGGCCTGCCTATCGAGGTCTTCGCGCAGGCGCAGGCCCTCTCTGCGAACCGCCAGCCAGACGAACAGCAGGGCCTGCAGGCCGAACAGCGGCGCCAGGTAGGCGGCCGCCCAGTTGACCGCTGCATAGCGTTGCCAGAGGAAGCTCCAGCCGACCCAGGCCCAGGCGGCGGCCAGCAGCAGCGCGGCGGCGCGGTCCGTCGCCGGTTGCCGGCGCAGCAGCAGGATCGGCAGGGCGAGGCCGAGCAGCAGCGCCACCAGCGGCAGGGGCCAGAGCGCTGCGTTCTCCAGCTCGAAGAGGCGCCAGTAGGTGCGCGGCGAGAAGAGCAGGAAGTCGGCCGGACGGTAGCTCAGCCACGCCTGCATCTAGCGGTCCCGAGCGCTCTGCAGGTATCTCAAAGCGCACGCACCTCCGCGGCGATCTGCGCACGCAGCGCCGGGTCCGGCAGCGGACCGCGCGCCGCCGCCTTGTTCTCGCGCAGATGCGCGACCTGGGTCGTCGCGGGGATCGCCACCGTGACCGCCGGTTCGGATAGGATGTACTTCAGGAGGACCTGGGCCCAGGATCCGGCGCCGATCTCGCGCAGCGCCTCCGGCAGCGGGGCGTTGCGCAGCCGGCGCGTCAGCGCGCCGCCCTGGAAGGGGCGGTTGACGATAACCCCGATGCCCTTCTCGCGGGCGAGCGGCAGCAGCCGGGCCTCCGCGTCTCGGTCAAGTACGTTGTAGGTGAGCTGCACGAAGTCGATCGGCTGGCTCTCCATGATCCGTTCCAGCAGATCGTGCCGCCGTCCGTGCGAGGTGGTGATCCCGACATAGCCCAACTCGCCGGCCGCCTTCATTCCAAAGAGGGTGTCGAGATGCCCTTCCCAGGCGACCAGGTTGTGGACCTGCAGCAGGTCGAAGCGCGAGAGCCCCCATTTCTGGCCCGTCTGCGCAATCTGGGACGGACCGTCGCCGACGCCGTTGGTCCAGACCTTCTCCGCCGAGAAGACGCTGCCGGGCCGTCCCAGCCGTTCCAGCCCGTAGCCTATGGTGTCCTGGGACGAGCCGTACATCGGCGAGCAGTCGATCATCCCGCCGCCCTCCTCGACGAAGGCGGCCATGACCTCGACGCAGTCCTCGCGCAGCAGCGGGTCGTCGCCGACGTTGAAGGTGATCCAGCTGCCCAGTCCGACGGCGGGAACCGCCTGTCCGCTCGACGGGATGCGCCGTTGCTCGGCCTCCGGAGCCTGCGCCTGGGCCGGTGCGCGGGGCCGCAGGGTGGCGAGGCCGAGGGACCCGCCCGCACAGCCGCCGAGACATCCGAGCAGAAACCGACGCCGATCCACCTGCATTGCGGGCCTCCCGTTGGTCGCCTAGCCGATCAGGCGGATGCTACGGCGTCAAAGTGGCAAGAGCGCGGCGCCTGTCCGTCTTGGCAGGCGGCCTCGCCCGTCCCTATCCTCCGGCAACGCCCAGAACAGACAGTGGAGCAGGCCAAAGTGGAGAAGCGAAACAGCGCGAAGACGCGAGCGCCCAAGCCCAAAGTCCACGCGGGCGGCTGCCTCTGCGGCGCGATCCGTTTCGAGGCGGAAGGCCCGGCGGAACGGCCGCACACCTGCTCCTGCAAGATGTGTCAGCGCCACAGCGGTGCGCTCACGGCGGCCTGGGTCGAGTTCCCGAAGGCTGCGGTGCGCTGGGTCGGTCCGGCGGGAGCGCCCTCCCTCTACCGCAGTTCCGAGGCCTCCAGCCGCGCTTTCTGCCCGACCTGCGGCAGTTCTCTCGGCGCGATCGACGACGCGCCGGTCGTCGCCCTGCTGCTCGGCGCCTTCGATGCCAACACCCGCAAGGAGCTGATGCCGACCGCCCATTCCTATCGTGGCGGCCGGCCCAAGTGGTGGCACCTGGAAACGCGGAGCTAGAAGTCGCGCGGTTCCGCCGGCACGCGTGGTGGCGAGAACGGAAAGGGCCGCCTCGAAGGATGGCCCTTTCGCTTTGTAGCGGTGTGAGCGTGCGATCGCGGGCCGTGACGGCCCGTCGACGCGCTCTTCTACTCGGCCGCCTGCGCCGAGGGCTTGGTCCAGGCGAACGTCTGGAAGGCCTCGTTTAGCGGCGTGTCGGCAACGTGGTTGGTGTAGTTCGACAGCACCTTCAGGCCGACGCCGAGGATCACCTCCAGCACCTGCTGCCGGCCGTAGCCGGCGGCCAGGAAGGCCTCCACGTCGCTGTCCTCCACCCAGCCGCGCGTGGTCACGACGGCGCGGGTGAAGCGGCGCAGGGCCTCAAGCTTGGCATCGGGCAGCGGCGTGTCGTTGCGCAGGGCCTCGATCACGTCGTCGGGCACGCCCTGCGACTTGGCGATACCGGTGTGCGCCGCCATGCAGAAGGTGCATTCGTTGTCGAAGTTGACGGTGATCATCACCGTCTGCCGCTCGGTCGCGGTGAAGGAGGTCTTGTCGAAGATCGCGGCGAGGGTCTGGTAGCCCTCCAGCAGGGCCGGGGCCTCGGCCTGGATGGCCCAGAGGCTGGGCACGAAACCGAGGCTCTTCTGGGCCGCGGCCAGGCGCTCGCTGGCGCCGTCCGGCGCCGTCTCGGGGGTATGCAGGGTGAAATCGACCATGGGGTCAGCCTCCTTTGGGGTGCTTCGGCCTTGAGGTGCTTTGGAGCGTCGCGTGACGCGCGTTCGGCGATAGGCTGCAGGTGGGGACGGCCAGGGGAGGGCTGAACCGTCACGCTTCGCATCTCATCTGTGATGAACTCTCATAATTCACGTCTCTGTGATGTCGTTTTGTGCCTTTTCGTCGGCAGTCGCGGCGGCGCTTGTCCTGGCGCGCGGGTCTACCTACAAGGGCGCCCATGTTCGGATTCAGCATTACCAAGCTGCTGGTTCTCGCCGGCGTCATCCTGGTCGTCTGGTACGGTTTCAAGCTGGTCGGCCGCCTGGACTCGGCGCGCAAGGCGGAGGCCAAGCTGCGCCGCCAGCCGAAGGGCGGCCGCAAGACGCCGCGCGACGAGCCGGCCAAGCCGGCGCCCTCCGAGGACCCTGCCGCCTTGCAGGCCGAGGAGATGACGCAGTGCCCCGCCTGCCGGGCCTATGTGGCGGCCGGCAGCGCCAAGAACTGCGGCCGGGCCGACTGTCCTTACTGAGCCCCCACCTTTCTTGAACCCCCACCCCTATTGATCCCCCACCCCTATTGATCCCCCACCCCTATTGATCCCCCACCCCTATTGATCCCTGCGTCCGCGCCAGCCCGCGCCTTGATTTGCGGCGGGCCGGCCAGTAGGGTCACGGCCCGCTACCGCACCTGCGAAGAACCCCGGATTGCACCCGACAGCGATGGCCAAACGCGCCGCCAATCCCGATACCTGCTTTCAAGGCCTGATCCTCAAGCTCCAGGATTACTGGGCGCGGCAGGGCTGCGTCATCCTGCAGCCCTACGACCTGGAGGTCGGAGCCGGCACCTTTCATCCCGCCACCACCCTGCGGGCGCTCGGCCCGGACCGGGTCTGGAACTGCGCCTACGTGCAGCCCTCGCGCCGCCCGACCGACGGGCGCTACGGCGACAACCCCAACCGGCTGCAGCACTATTACCAGTACCAGGTGATGATGAAGCCGAGCCCGGCGAACATTCAGGAGCTCTATCTCGGCTCCCTGCGCGCCCTGGGGATTGACCCGCTGGAGCACGACATCCGCTTCGTCGAGGACGACTGGGAAAGCCCGACGCTGGGCGCCTGGGGTCTGGGGTGGGAGGTCTGGTGCAACGGCATGGAGGTCAGCCAGTTCACCTACTTCCAGCAGGTCGGGGGTATCGATTGCCACCCCGTGCCGGCGGAGCTGACCTACGGGCTGGAGCGGCTGATCATGTATGTGCAGGACGTGGACAACGTCTATGACCTGGACTGGGACGGCGTGCCGGCAGAGCAAGGCGGCAAGTGCTACGGCGACGTCTTCCTGCAGGCGGAGCGGGAGTTCAGCGCCTTTAACTTCGAACTGGCCGACACGGACCGGCTGGTCCGCCACTTCGCCGACGCCGAAGCGGAGTGCGGCCGGCTGCTGGAGGCGCGCCTGGCCCTGCCCGCCTACGACCTCTGCATGAAGGCAAGCCACCTCTTCAACCTCTTGGACGCGCGCGGCGTCATCTCGGTCACCGAGCGGCAGGCCTACATCGGCCGCGTGCGTGCTCTGGCCAAGGGCTGCTGCGAGACCTGGGTCGCCTCCTTCGCCGAGGCCGGGGACGCCGCAGCCGCCGGGGCGGCGAGGTCTGACGATGTCTGAGCTGCTGCTTGAGCTGCGCTCTGAGGAGATCCCCGCCCGCATGCAGGTGCAGGCGGCCGAGAACCTGCGCGCGCTGGTCTGCGACAAGCTGGGCGCAGCCGGCCTGACCTTCGACCATGCCTTCGCCACCGCGACGCCGCGCCGTCTCGTGCTGGTGGTCGAGGGACTTCCCCTTAGGCAGCCGGACCGGACCGAGGAGCGCAAGGGCCCGAAACTCGGCGCGCCCGAGCCGGCGATCGCGGGCTTCCTCAAGGCCAACGGCTTTGCCTCCGCCGATGAGGCGGAGCTGCGCGAGACCCCCAAGGGCGAGTTCTTCTTCGCCGTGCGCCGGATCCCGGGGCAGGCGACCGCCTCCGTTCTGCCCGACCTGCTGACGGAGGCCATTCGTGCCTTCGGCTGGCCCACCTCGATGCGCTGGGCGGAAACGGACTTCCGCTGGGTGCGCCCGCTGCACGCTGTGCTGGCGCTGTTCGACGGCGTGCGGCTGGAGGGGACGCTGGATCTGGGCGACCGGACGCTGGCCTTCACCGACCGGACGCGCGGCCACCCCTTTCTGGCGCCCGAGGACATCCGGGTCGAGGGCTGGAGCGACTACCGAGACCGCCTGGAGCGCGCACTCGTGCGCGTCGAGCGGAACGAGCGGCGCAAGGTGCTGGTCGAGCAGGCTTCGGCTCTCGCCCACGCCGCCGGGCTGGCGGTCAAGGAGGACACGCTGCTGGTCGAGGAGGTGACGGGACTCGTGGAGTGGCCCGAGCTGCTGATGGGCAGCATCGAGGCGCGCTTCATGGAGCTGCCCGACGAGGTGCTCTCGACCTCCATGCGCAGCCATCAGAAGTACTTCTCCCTGGTGCAGCCGGACGGACGGCTGGCGCCCCGCTTCCTGCTGGCGGCCGACATGACGGCGCCCGAGGGCTCGCGGCGGCGCAAGAACATCGTTGAGGGCAACGAGCGGGTCCTGAGTGCCCGCCTGGCCGACGCCGAGTTCTTCTGGGATCAGGACCGCAAGCAGAGCCTGCAGAGCCGGGTCACCGCGCTGCGCGCCATCGTCTTCCACGCGCGGCTCGGGACGGTCGAGGACAAGGTCGACCGCATCACAGCTCTGGCGGTCGAGATCGCCAAGGCCGTGTCGGGCGCCGACCTGGACCGCGTTCGCTCTGCCGCGCGGCTCTGCAAGTCGGATCTGGTCACCGGCATGGTGGGGGAGTTTCCCGAGCTGCAGGGCGTCATGGGCCGCTACTACGCCCTGGCCGACGGCGAGCAGCCCGAGGTGGCGCAAGCCATTGCCGAGCACTATGCGCCTCAGGGGCCGAACGACCTCTGCCCGACGGCGCCGGTCAGCCTCTGCGTCGCCCTGGCGGACAAGCTCGACAGCCTGGTCGGCATGTTCGCCATCGACGAGAAGCCGACCGGCAGCAAGGACCCCTTTGCGCTGCGCCGGGCCGCCTTGGGCGTGATCCGTCTGATCGTCGAGAACGAACTGCGGCTGCCGCTGGCGGCGCTGTTCCGCTCCGGCCATGCCGGCGTCTCCCAGCTTCCCTCGGCATCCGGCGTGCGTTCAGAGGCCGATCGCGTTGTCGCTGACCTGCTGGCCTTCTTCGCCGACCGGCTGAAGGTGGCGCTGCGCGAGCAGGGCGTGCGGCACGATCTGATCCAGGCGATCTTCAGCCTTGGCGGCGAGGACGACCTGGTGCGTCTGCTGCGGCGGGTCGAGGCGCTGGAGGACTTTCTCAAGACCGACGACGGCGCCAACCTGTTGGTCGCCTATCGCCGCGCCGCCAACATCGTCCGCATCGAGGCCAAGAAGGACGGCGCCGAAATTGCCGGAGCCGTGGAACCCGGCGTGCTCGAACAGCGCGAGGAGCAGGCGCTGTTCCAGGCTCTGGAACTGGCGGGCGACAGGGCCGCGGCGGCGTTGGATCGCGAAGACTTCACGGCGGCGATGGCGGCGCTGGCCGAGCTGCGCCAGCCGGTCGACGCCTTCTTCGATGCGGTCACCGTCAATGCCGAGGAGGCGCGCCTGCGCGCGAACCGTCTGCGTCTGCTGGCGCGGATCGGTGCGACCTTGGGCCAGGTGGCCGATTTCTCGGCGATCGAGGGCGGCTGAATGACCGACGCTGTGCAGAGCGGTTCCAGGGATGGTGGCGAGGGGTTCGCAGAGGCCTGCCGGCGCGATGCCGGCGCGGCCTGGAATGCGGCCTGCGGCCATCCCTTCACGCTGGCCCTGGGCGACGGAACGCTGCCGCAGGCGGCCATGGCAGACTACCTGGTTCAGGACTATGCCTTCGTCGGCACCCTGGTCTCGATGGTGGGTTTCGCGGTCGGTCGGGCGCCGGACATCGGCGCGCAGGCGCGGCTCTCCACCTTTCTGGCGGCAGTGACCTCGGAGGAGAACACCTATTTCCAGCGCAGCTTCGAGGCGCTGCAGGTGCCCGAGGCGGACCGCAGCGGTCCCGCCCTGCGCGAGGTCACGCGGCAGCTGATCGCCGCGATGGAGGACGCCGGCACAGGGGGCAGCTATGGCGAGATCCTGGCGACGCTTCTGCCCGCCGAGTGGATCTACCTGAGCTGGGCCGAGGCACAGGCGGCCAAGGCGCCCGGCGCCTTTTACTTCCAGGAATGGATCGACCTGCACGTCAACGCGGATTTTCGCGCCTTCGTCCTTTGGCTGAAGGTCGAGACGGATCGGGCCGCCGCGGCGGCGGGTGCGGAGGAACGGCAGGCCATGGCGGAGCGTTTCGCCCGGATGGTCCGGCTGGAAGTCGATTTCTTCGATTTGTTCCACCCGCGCTGACGAGCGCGGAGGACAGAGCGGTCTCTCGATAGGGGCGGTCTCTCGAATGAGGGGACCGCGCAGACGATACGGAGCGATGGCATGAGCAAGTGGGTCTACAGCTTTGGCGGCGGCAGCTCGGACGGCCGCGCTGAGATGCGCAACCTGCTGGGGGGCAAGGGCGCGAACCTGGCGGAGATGGCCTCCATCGGCCTGCCGGTTCCGCCGGGGTTCACCATCACGACGGAGGTCTGCACCCACTACACCCAGGACGGCGGCTATCCCGAAACGCTGGATGCCCAAGTCGGCGAGGCGCTGGCCGCGATCGAGCAGGGTCTGGGCATGAGCTTCGGCGCGGTGGAGAACCCGCTGCTGGTATCGGTGCGCTCCGGCGCCCGCGTCTCCATGCCTGGCATGATGGACACGGTGCTCAACCTCGGCCTGAACGACGAGACGGTCGAGGGGCTGGCCCGCAAGAGCGGCGATCCGCGCTTCGCCTACGACAGCTACCGCCGCTTCATCCAGATGTTCGGCGACGTGGTGCTGGGCGTCGACCACGGCCACTTCGAGGAGATCCTCGAGCTGGCCAAGGAGGACAAGGGCGTCGACTTGGACACCGACCTGACGGCCGACGACTGGAAGGCGGTGATCGAGCAGTACAAGGCACGGGTGGAGGAGGAGACCGGCGAGCCCTTTCCCCAAAGCCCGCAGGACCAACTCTGGAAGGCGGTCTCCGCCGTCTTCGGCTCCTGGACCAATCAGCGCGCCCGGACCTATCGCCGTCTGCACAATATTCCCGAGGAGTGGGGCACGGCGGTCAACGTGCAGGCCATGGTCTTCGGCAACATGGGCCAGGACTGCGCCACCGGCGTCGCCTTCACCCGCGATCCCTCGACCGGCGAGAACGATTTCTACGGGGAGTATCTGGTCAACGCCCAGGGCGAGGACGTGGTCGCCGGCATCCGCACGCCGCAGAACCTGACGGTCCAGGGCAAGCAGAAGAACGGCAGCGACCTGCCGGCCATGGAAGAGGTGATGCCCGAGGTCTTCCAGCAGCTCTGCGAGGTGCGCGGCCGGCTGGAGGCGCACTACAAGGAGATGCAGGACATCGAGTTCACGGTGCAGTCCGGCACGCTCTACATGCT